GTTGGTGATTACCATCAGATTTGTACATCCTTTTCATTAGACTATCAATGATTGCATGTTTACAGTTTGTATTTGCTGCTTTTTAAAAGACTTTTATCACATAACCACGGCGGGAGTAAATTAAAGCATTTAATAAAAATTATATTAAACAGTATAATAATACTATTGATGTTGACGTCATTACTGCCCTATTATGTAAAAGTCGCAATAAAGTCGCGCTAACTGTTAGCGTACACTATTAGCGCCAGTCAAATTAAAAAAAATGACTTGTTTAACTTGTAAAATCATTCTCTTTTTGAATATGTGATAAATACATATTTTATTTGTGTAGTTATATACTAAATTTATTGAAAGAGTTGAATTAAAACAATATTATGCTCGCCAGAAGGTTTGCATAATATGATTTTATTCAACTTGTTCAATAAATTTAGTATTAAACCAACACTCATTCCAATGTCCTCTACATATGGGGGAAAAGCATGGATATTTGTTAATTTGGTGTCAGTATTACAGCACAAATCAATTATATCTTCTTATTCTCAAATACTTTCTTATAATCTGTATGTACATGTATTTCATGTGAACCTAAAAACCAAGCCGGCAAGCAGGCATAGGATCAATTTCATTACTTTTGAAATACCACCTCACCCTCTGTATATAACAGTATTCAAAAATTCCGTGATAAAAGCCTTCAATTTTTACTTCAAAGTCTTACAAAAATCTACACCTTAAAAATTCATTTAAAAAATCAACAAATCACAGACAGAAATACTTTTACTACATTAAATAAGAGTATACTATGCTCAAATCAGAATCTGATATTTTAAAATACTGATAATTGCAATACAATTTCTTTTAAAGAGTTAAAATAAACATCTTTCCAGCACACAGAGAATGTATGTTTCACTTAAATCTCTACAGACTACGGGTACAAACACAGTATGAATACATACATGTAGTGTTAAAACAACTGGCAGTTTTTGTTTTTTAAAGAAAGGATCAAAACAACTTGACCAGTATATATAATAGGTAATGTAGCTTCCCAAACATAGTTTATGAATTCTTTCATCCAAATTTGACATATTTAGTAAGAATTTTCTAGATTTCATTAAATATCTGCTATAAAAGTATTTTATCTAATGTTGAGTATAGTATATCTGTAAATATAATATAAATAATCACTGGCTTAGGATGAATTTATGGCACAAATGTGGAGTTTATTATACATATTAACATAAAGATCTTTGTATAACTTTAACAATAATGGAACAAGTTAAAAAATTCCCTTTTATTTTATACATCATATATCTGTAAAGACTATTAAAACTAGGCCATATACAGTTTTCTCCTAATAAAAAATTAGATCATACAGAAATTTCAAAACAACTTTGTTGTAAAAACAAACAAAAAACAAGCAAAGAGGTGGTATACAATAAAGCTAAGCACTAACAAACAATTGGTAAAAAATAATGTAAAGGTGTCCTCTAAGGTTACATACATGTATAGACATATAACTAAGGAGATTGAAAATTATATATCAGAATTTATTTAAACTTTCCATGATCCATGATCTAGTCAAAATGCTATAACTACTACTATTAATGGCTGATACTGTAAATTTACTTAATTTCGTGGGCATGAAATTATGCTGTTTTGTCAAAAAGGTCAAGTGAAATGAAAATAATATACATGTAATATAAAAAAAACATACTATATTCCACACAGCAGACATAATAACATTTTGTTAGATCTTAAATTTGTGGATTGACCTATCACAAAAAACTACAAAATCCCACACCCCACGAAAAATAATGATTTTGCAGTATGATTTAAATAACTAAAATATCTTACTTCCAAACAATAATAAAAATATGTTTCATTAAAATCCTTTACTAGAAAGTTGTTTGAGATTCGAATTGTAAATCAATTTTGATATCTATTGATTTTTTTACTCCTTCGTATTTTAATTTGCAATATCTCAGTATCTGGCAATAATGTATAACAAAGCTTTGTATTGCAACAGAAAAGCTAATAATGTAAAGAATTGTGAATGTATTGCACGACAGTTACACAAATTATTGTGCTGTATAATTGTAAATACTATTATTCTTTCTTGGGTAAATCATTTTTTCACTGTTTAATGGCAATTAAGACAGATATTTTTTTATTTTGGGTTGTTTTTAAGTCACACCAACATAGGAAAGGTCACATGATGACAGCATTATTTCAGGCACATAAGACTACCAACATTGTGCATGCTAGCTGGATAGCTTCTTCACATAAAAGAATCAAAAGTCCCTTTAAGGATTCAAACCTACAGAAGTAAGGGTCAAGTGGTTTGATGTTGATGACATTTACCACTCCTCCACAGACTTGATATCATAATTGAACTACAATTCTGAGCAATGGGAAAATTGTTCAAAAATTTGTTTAATGGAGTCACAAGGAACAAATCACTTCCAAATTGCCAGTTCCTTGAGGTGATTTTGTTCATAGAAATACCTTAATTTTTTTGTTCTAAGAATGACTTTTATTCACTTTACTATAATGTAAACTTTTAAAATTATATTGCATTTAATACATCATATTGCAGCAAATTATTGCCTGCAAAAAAACATAATATCTACACTATTATAATGAAATTACAAACTGGGAACAAACATGTAACTATAATGTCTTAAAGTACCGTAGCACACATTCAGATTTATGTGATTTTTTAAAATAATTTATACCTATTCAATCAAGAACTCTAACCTGGATTTCTTGAATTAGAAATGTTTTTTTTTTTTTATTTTTTTTTTTTTAGAAACATTTTTCTCATATAGAGGTGGGCCACTTTAAACAACAACAACAAAAATATTTACAGGCACATAAAATAAACATTCATTATCAAAATGATAACAAGCAAACTACCACTTTTATTAAACAGCATAAAATTTTCTTCTATTAAAAACACACTGTAAAATACACATGCTAACCCACAGCACTAAAATTCTACCATGTTTTACAATATAACCATGTAGCAGACAATAAACATAAACAATTATTCATAAAAAAACATAAACATGAAATGATTTAAGCATATGCTAAAATAAAACACAATTACTTCATTAGAACATTGAAATTGCATGATTTCATTACATGTAAATTTATGCTTAATAATAAGTACATAATGAACTAAGTCACTTTTGCATCAAACAAAAGAAACATTTATACCAGGAATTGATTGAAATCAGAAAATGAATTACAGTCGGCATCGTACTTGCGTCCACCTTTATTGAGCGACTTTTTTTATTAAGCGGCCACAAAAAATCCCTCCCTGATGATTTTTACTATATAAGTTATTCCATTAAACGACGATTTCTATATCGCGGCCAGCGGGCCACTAATATGTCCGGCCAAAATGTACAAAAATTCAGCTGTTAAAGTATCTATTAACGGCCGTGACAAACAATCGTCCCTACGGGACATTCTCACCTGTGTAATTAGCGAGTAGGGTGAACAAACAAATATTTTTCATGGTCATTAGTCTTAAAGTATCTATTAAACGGCCGTCAATTTAGACCGTCACAAAATAATTGTCGTTTAAAAATGAATTTAATAACAATTGTAATCGTTTCAAAAATCGGAAAGAAAGAAAACAGTTTTAATTGTGACATATTTTGTCAGAGCAGTAACGTATCACAACACCCGCATTGGCACAGTTTTTGTCATGTGCTCAGAGTGACCTCCCTTCCAGAAAATCAAATCGAAAATGACGTCGGAACGAGCGAAAAAATGACAGACAACTAATAATACCGGATAAATTGAATGAGGAAATCGTGCATGGAATTGAGTCTGAGTAAATAGCAAATGCCATCGTTTGTAGTCGAAATAAAATCGTGAAACGTAGTGGACTAAACATTATAGAAACCGAGCCTTTTCATTGCTGATGGTGTATTAAATATGACCCTTCGACAAAAATAAAAAAATAATAAAGGAATAAAAAAAAATAATAATATAATAATGATATTCTAAGATCTCTAAAAACTTTAATGTTTGAAATCGGGGTAGTGTGAAAACTAATTGCTGAAAAAATCAAGTAGTTTAAAACTCATTGCATGAAAATTTATCTAAGAGGTCTGGCTGATGATTTGAAAGTATGTTCAGCAGGAGATGTGTATGAACATATTAATAATATATGACAATATGCTTTGTTTCAAGGTCAAAATGACCTGTTAATAGTATTATGAGCGTAGATCACAATTGTACACAAATTTCTACTAAAAAACAAACAAACACATATTGATGACTTTATTAAACAAAAGGCATAAATGTAATTATGAAACTGTAATACTATATAATATTGTACAGTCTTTGTTTTTATAAAAAGATGTTATTATATCTATGACTTGTAATATAAAAAAAGTCTCGAATTTTCCAGAATTCTATTGAGAGACCACTTTATTAAGAGACCACTTTTTGGCAGTCCCTTGAGTGGTCTCTTAATACAATGTCGACTGTACAGCTAAATACATCACAAATTGAAATCAATTCAAAACAATTATACAACAGACACAAACCTTGCAGGTGGATAAATGTCAAAGCAGATGGAATAATGCCACAGCAGTTGGATTAATGCCCCAGCATGTAGATGTCAGTCACAGCAAAATTGAATTGTGACAATAGATGGATCAATCACAGCCAATGAATCAATGTTACAAAAGATTGATTAAAATTGCAATAAACAGATCAACATCATAACAGAGATTTGGGATACAGACAAAAGCCCCCCCCCCCCCCATCTAAAAATGACAAGGTGGACAAAAGCCCACCCCATGAAATTTACACGAAGGACAATAGCCCCCCTCCCCCCCATCAAATACATGGCAGGTAGGTAACTTAAAGCCGCAGTTAGATTGTTAAAATTTTTTTTTTTTTTCTTTCCACAGCTAAACAGATCGTATTCTCAGAATTAGTCACTAAAGATTTGGAATTGGCTTTATATTGTGGGTCTAATTTGGAGAATATTTAAAACAACAACTGCATGAGAATTAACAACCATGACAATGCGGTTGAATGACACACGGTAACAGTATGTACAAATGTATGCTTTGCTAAACAAGTACAGTCATAATGTTGTAAAATGATGGATGCGTACATATGTGGTTAATCAAAATGGGTGGAGCAACATGTTAAATTGGCAAAATCTCTACAGCATATAGAAACAACATCGAAAGCAATAATAAGTTTCATATGCTTAAACCTAAATTCAAAATGGAACTTGTACAATTATAACTTATGCATCACATTGATGCCAAAATGATGGACAGATGAAGCAAAATCTATTATGCTCTTTACCTTAACTCATTCTAATTTCTCATGAGACCTAAACTGGTCTTTCTATTAAACCATAAAAGGACGGACAACTAAGGAATTTCAAAAAATCTTGAGAGGTCTCGGGTGACAATTTTTACAGGCAATCTTAAAATAACTAAGCCCCTGGTAAGACATTTAGCCAAACAATTTATTAGCTAAGACTGGGACCTGTTCTAAAATGTTTTGGTGTACATATTCCAATTTCAAAATACATTCAAATCTTTTATCACTTGGAAAGCCAGCCTGTACAAGTTTAGGAAGCAGGTAAAAAAATTCTGGATGACCGCTAGTAAGTATCCCCTTAACAAATCCGTCACTTGTCAGAAAAGGAGAGCCAGACCCTCGGTGTTCCAAACAAATATCTAAGAAAATATGTTGCTCCCTATCAATATACTTGTAACCTTTATCTACAATACCAGGATCAGACCCCATCTCCTGAACAAGTGCCTTAAAGCGTTGTACTCGATTAGGCCCAGCATTTGCTCCATTTTGATGTGGGAGTCCAGGATTGGTATCATGAAGCCATGTTTGACAATCCAGAATTCTCGCACTTACTGAGGAAATGATAGGACAGGAATTATCTAACACCTTACAGTATGGGTTTTTAGGGTCACCATACCCAATTCCATGTAATGTTTTTGTGCTACAAGACCTTTTATCCAACTTCAGTCCCTTTGGCAACGCATCATTTCTGTTTATTATCTGCAGAACTGTATAGTCCAGATGTAGTGTATTCGTTGATAAAACATGCCGAACGTGAAATTTATACATGTAACAGTCAGGTGTTACACATACAGAAGCATTGAAATTGACGAAAACATTCTCTGCTTCAATGAGTGTATAATTGAACTGACCAGTATTGCGTGGGTCTGAAAAAAATAAAATAAAGAAGTTTTGTAATAGTCACAGACAATTCATTCAAACAGAAGTCTTTAGTTACTTAAAGTATTGATAGCTTGAAATATGCTGTTTACATAACCAAAATTATTCTATTTCTTAAATTCTACTCGTTATTACGAGCGGACAAGGAGAGTTTTCAATCTCTTTTTTATCAGAAACAGATGAATGCCCCCACCCAAAGCTGGGCAGAGTATAAGAAATGATAACTTTTGACCTACAACAAAGGCATTAGTACTTTAAAGGGTGTTAGAAATAAAGAAACATAAACGCTTTCTTATCTTTCAAGTAAGCCTAATTGTTCCAACAATGAATGACAAAAATATGACCAGACACAACCATGAATGCACTAATTTAACATCCAAGTAGAACCTTCACTTCTCTTCCTGGCATTTTGCGTATGACAAGTCATCTATAAGGCATATGCTATATTTACATATAGCAAAACGAAAACTGTTTCATAGAATTTATTTAAATTATTAGAATATGATAAAAGAAACATTTCAAGCAAAAAAGAATAGGAGGTCACAATACAAGTTTCAAAAATTAATTTTAGGATTATCTGCCCTTAATATAAATGGCATCCTTCTATAACAATGAACATGTTTGAAGTGTATGGCTTTTACTTGGCGAAAATGGACCTTAACAAAAAGATTAACTGATGCTAATGCCAATGTTGATAAGAGGGTCTTGACAACAGCTGCACATTATTTCTTTGAAAAGTGGAGATAAAAACAGCATGTCACACTTCAAGTATAACAAGAGGGCCATGATGGCCCTAGATCGCTCACCTGACCCATCAAACTCATCCAAACAATTACCTAGACAAGCATTCTGACCAAGTCTCATGACAGGAGAGTCAAAAATGTGACCACTACAGTGTTAACAAGGATTATCCATATTTGAGCAGTATGACCTAGTTTTTTACCCAGGTGACCCATACTCAAACTTGACCTAGAAATCATCAAAACAAACTTTCAGACCAATTGCCAGGATACTTGGATCAAAACAGTAGCATCTAGAGTGTTAACAAGATTTTTCTATTTTTAGCTCCGGTGACCTAGTTTCACATGCGATTTAAAAACTCATCCAAGCAATTACCTAGACAAGCATCCTGACCAAGTTTGATGATAATTGAGTCACAAATGTGACCACTAGAATGTTAACAAGGTTTTTCCATATTTGGGCGGTGTGACCTAGTTTTTCATCCAAGATGAACCATATTAGAACTTGACTTAGAAATCATCAAAACAAACTTTCAGACCAATGAACAGAATATTTTGATCACAACAGTAGCCACTAGTGTGTTTACAAGTTTTTCAGTTGAGATGACCTATGTTCGAACTCATCCAAGCTATCACCTAGACAAGCATCTTGACTAAGTTTGATGATGATTGATGTAAAAATGTGACTGCTTGTGTTAACAAGGTTTTTCTATTTTTAGCTTCGGTGACCTAGTTCTTCATCCGAGATGACCCATGTTCAAACTCATCCGAGCTAGATAAGCATCCTGACAAAGTTTGATGATGATTGAGGCATAACTGTGACCGCTGGAGTGTTAACAAGTTTCTTCTATTTTTAACTCCGGTGATCTAGTTTTTCATCCGAGATGACCCATGTTTGAATTCATCTGAGCTGTCACCTAGACAAGCATCTTGACCAAGTTTGATGATGATTGATGCAAAAATGTGACTGCTTGTGTTAACAAGGTTTTTCTATTTTTAGCTCCGGTGACCTACTTTTTCATCCGAGATGAGCCATGTTCAAACTTATCTGAGCTATCACCTAGACAAACATCCTGACCAAGTTTGATGATGATTGAGGCAAAATTGTGACCTCTAGAGTGTTAACAAGGTTTTTCTATTTTTAGCTCTTGTGACCTAGTTTTTCATCCGAGATGATCCATGTTCAAATTCATCTGAGCTGTCACCTAGACAAGCATCTTGACCAAGTTTGATGATGATTGATGCAAAAATGTGACCGTTTGTGTTAACAAGGTTTTTCTATTTTTGGCTCTGGTGACCTACTTTTTCATCCGAGATGAGCCATGATCAAATTCATACGCGCTATCACCTAGACAAGCATCTTGACCAAGTTTGATGATGATTGAGGCAAAATTGTAACCTCTAGAGTGTTAACAAGGTTTTCCTATTTTAAGCTCTTGTGACCTAGTTTTTCATCCGAGATGACCAATGTTCGAACTCATCCGTGCTATCAACTAGATAAGCATCCTGACCAAGTTTGATGATGATTGAGGCAAAAATGTGACCGCTAGAGTGTTAACAAGGTTTTTCTATTTTTAGCTCCTGTGACCTAGTTTTTCATCCGAGATGACCCATGTTCGAACTCATCTGAGCTATCACCTAGACAAGCATCTTGACCAAGTTTGATGATGATTGATGCAAAAATGTGACCGCTAGAGTGTTAACAAGGTTTTTCTATTTTTAGCTCTGGTGACCTAGTTTTTCATTTTAGTGACCCGTGTTTGAACCCTTCTGAGCTATCAACTAGATAAGCATCTTGACCAAGTTTGATGATGATTGAGGCAAAAATGGGACCACTAGAGTGTTAACAACTAAATGTGAATGGACGACGGACAATCATGGATCCTAAAAGCTCACCCTGAGCATGCTCAGGTGAGCTAAAAAGGCATTAGACAGCCTTCTATGCATTAATTTCATGCAAACAACATTTAAGTACCTACCAATTATTCCTCTTATTACATGGAAAGCTGTAATAAGATAATCGTCGCCTGCTCGGAAGACAGTTCCGATGACTTCTCCGTTGTAAATCAGGGCCCCTACAGACTTCATATATTCTGATAAAAAGGTAACAACAAGCTGTGTCAGGGTTTTACAGTGTGGGCTTGCAAATTCCTCCCCAGCCACTCTATCCACTTCTGATGTCACATTTCCTCCAAAATCTGGTGTCAGTATTTCAACATCCTGAAATAATTCTTCTTTTTCCTCAACTCCTTCCTCATCTGTAACAGTAAGTAGTACAAATAAAACTGTAAATAATATTTATGTTCTTGAAAATCAGACTAAATTCCGTTAGTTTTACAGATGCTGGAAATTTAATCAGTTTTACAGATGCTGGAAATTTAATCACATGTTCCAAAATGACCTTATTTCAGCACATTTTATATTCTAAGGATGATGTAAGTTTCATTTCCAATTGATGTATTGAGGTTAACCATTTAAAGTATGGTACAATATACACAAAATGTACAAGAAAATTATCTATCAATTTTAGGTTCCATTTTTAATATCCCCTTTGCCTTTGGTTAGGGCACAAAAAGTTGCTTTAAGTTACATCAAACTCAACTACAGCTATAACTTAATGGAATTAATACTCCTGCAGGACTGCTTTGAAAATGAGGAAGTTACTAGAAACAGAATACATGTACCTTGTAAAAGAATTGAAATATGGTTATGGTTGTGGACAATTAAAGACAGTTGTGGTTCTTGTATGTTGCATTTCCTTTTACTGTGGTTGACCATTGATAAAGTTTAATTGAATTACAGTACTCTGTAATAAGCCAAGATAGAGTTACAGTTCTTGAACACTGCACATCCTCTCATTGCACTTGACCATTGTATGAAGTTGCATTGAATTCCAAATATTAGTTTCTAAGTTATGCACTGAACAAGAACAAGGAACAAATGGCAATAACTTTGCAAATATGCAAATTCTGAAGATAGTGTTATGGTTATCAGACACTGCACTTTCACTTGCGCTTGACCATTATATGAAGTTGTATTTAATTCCAACAACTAGTTTTTAAGTTATGCACTGGACTAGAAAAAGTAACAAAAGGTAATAACTATGTCATAAGTCCAAATAGAGTTATGGTTCTTGTGCATTGTACTTCATCTCACTGCTCTTGACCATTATATGAAGTTGCATTGAATTCCAACCATTAGCTTATCCATCTAGCTTATCGATTGTCAGTGATTCTACTCAGTTATATTGAATTCCAACCATTAATCTTCAAGTTATGCTCCAGTCAAGGAAAATGCAACAGACTGCTTGACAGACAGACTGACCGACCAAATGACCACCAGTGACTCCTATATAACCCCCCCCCCCACTTCATTTTGGAGGTATAATGACGAGTGTGAATTAAGGCCAGTTGCTTCAATAAACATAAGTCATGATGGCCCTTACTTGCTCATCTGTGGATATGGTTAATAATTATTAGCTCATTCAAATTTAGTTTTAACAAAATTTGCCTAGCAGCTGAGGGGGAGAAGAAATCACAGCATTTTTCTATATTTAGCTCTGGTGGCAATCTTGGTTGACAGACTTGTATGATTTTGACTTTTTGTTTTGTAATAAGACCATGATTGACTTACTGAGTTATATCTGTGTCTGCAGTGTGTTATAATAAGATGTTAGTTAAATCTATTTCTGATCTTAGTACTGGCAGCCATCTTATAAAGCAGACAAGTGTAAAGAGATCTAGCCATCTAATAAAGCCAGGCCAGTCTGCATATCCATGCAGTATAATCTGTACTGTTGGTAGCTATATTTTAATCTAAATATTGAAATCCCTTCATTTTCAAATGGTCTGTTCTAAACTCAATGCAGGACAAATGCAGCAATTTAAGGGTTAACAAGAACTGTCGGAGGACAGTAACGCTCGACTATTCAAAAATTTGTCACAAGGGTGTTTCATTGAGTATAATAATGCTTACCTATATGAATACATTAAATTGTCCGAAAAGGTACAAACCCTTCAAGTTTCAATACATTCCCTTCAGTAGTTATGGAGATACAAGCTTACACACAAAAACTTAACCAAAAATTTATGAATCGAAAAAGGGACATAAGTATGCGAAAAAGTAAATCAGAGTTATGGGACTTGTGCCAATCATCTTAGATAATCACAGACAACAAGAGTGTGAAGTTTAAATCCATTCCCTTCATTAGTTATGGAGATATCAGCTTGCATGCAAAAACTTAACCAAGAATTTCTAAGTCGAAAAAGGGGCATAATTATGTAAAAAAGCAAATCAGAGTTGTGGGACTTGTGCCAATCATCTTAGATAATCACAGAGAACAAGTGTGTGAAGTTTCAATCCATTCCCTTCAGTTCTTATGGAGATACCAGCTTACATACAAAAACTTAACCACAGGGACGCCGACGCCGACAAATGGGTGACTGCATTAGCTCGATTATTCTGCGAATAGTCGAGCTAAAAACAAGAACACAGAATGCGGTGTTAGTGCTCGCCTGTTTAGAGCATCCAATTTCCACAAAAATTTAAGCTAAAAAGGAGACATGATACCAAAAATATAGTTTTCAGAATTATGTCTCCTGTTTAACAACTGCACTTTGTAATGATTTGCATGAATTACAAGATAAAATGACTGAATAAAGTTTTGCATAACAATGACAACAATGAAACAGTGACCATTAAAGCTCGACTTTTCCTTCATAAGAGACAAGCTAATAAGTGTATAAAAGTTACCTTTCTTGCTAACAATCTTGTCAGAGTCTATCATCTTTTCAAAGAAACTTTCCTGTAAAGGATGTGACACTGAATTAACAATTATACTCTATCAATGCATCATTTAACTAAATCTCAACAGTAATTTCTAGAGTTCTAGTGAATACAAATTATTACAACCAAGTCTTAAGAGAGTCTTGACTTAATATATTTTAAATTACAAGACTGCAAGTTCAAGATCCACTTGATTTAGTGAACACAAGAGGTTCCTTCATGATGTCTTTCTCAAACAAATTTATTTTGTGAAAAATAAACATTGTGTGCTGAATTCACAAGACATTTGAGCAAAATACAAGGCATCAACTTCTTAAAATAACATTGATTTAGGATAATTTCTCAATAACACCAGTTTTTTGATGCTGCATATTCTTTAAATGAAGAACATAAACTGGAATTGGTATGATCAATTAATCAATGAGTCTGCCCACCTGGGCTCAGAAGATAGAGCATGTATTATTAGTCTAAAAGTCACTGGTTCTATCCTCAGACATGGCAAAATTTCTCACTGATGTATTTTCATGGACACTTAGACTACAGGCCGATTAAGAAATCATACAGGACAAGCAGTAAATGACTCACGGAGAAAATGTTTCAATTTTTCTCTATTTTAAGTAAATTTGTTAGAAAAGTTCTTTAAAAGTGATCACAGGAAACAGCCCGGTAGGGGACTAATAAAAGATTGTTAGGTGAAGCAACTAAATAGATACCATGAAAAATATGTTAAAATCAGCAAAAACACAATGAAACATTTTTATTTAATAAATTTTTCGACACTATACTTTATCTAACTTTTTATGTGGGTTAACCACCCTGAAACAAATAAAAATACATACAACAGCAGCTTCCGGTTTTTTGCAGTTTTGCAGTTCATCATATAGACTTTTCATGAGAACATGCATGTCTTCCTTACTGGACACAGAACCAAAGTTAAATGCTCCAACATTTTCAACTTTAAGGAATAGGTTATTGTGATACTTTTTCTCCTTCTTTACTTTCAAGCCTGAACTCTCTGAAATATAAAACACAATTGTATACCATAAATGGTATATTAAACACATTAACTTTGAAGTTTATCAATAATCTAGTAAAATAACTTTTCTCATGTCAATTGTTAGAGGCTTTGCTTTTGCAAATATACTGGCTATGAAGTAGTTTTCATATATACACATTTTTGACAGGTCGGTCGTATGACTCTATTTTAACAACCTGCAATCAGTGAGTTATGATAGCTTCCTCACATGAAAGAATCATAAGTTCCTGTAGCAATCGAAATCCAACAAGAGCCTACACTGGGCGGGGGCAACGCTCGACTTTTTACTTTCTCTTAAAGCAAAATCTTAACGTTTCCTTTTAATGAAATTAATTGGTCTGTCTTGTCACATAAGTTTTGTCTATATATTTTGTATATATAAATAAACTAAATTATATATATAAATAGAAACACGCTATTCTATAAATTGAAAATTCTATAAATAGAAACATGCAATTCTATAAATAGAAACACGCAATTCTATAAATAGATACACGTGGTAGAGTCACAAAAAAATTGGTGGAGTCGCGTGATGGAGTCACGTGGTAGAGTCATGTGGTGGGTCACATGGTGGTGTCACGTGGTGGAGTCACGTGGTTGAGTCACGTGGTAAAAACACGTGGTAAAGTCACGTGGTGGAGTCACGTGGTGAAGTCACTTGGTGGTGTCATGGGTGGAGTCACATGGCAAAGTCACGTGGTAAAGTCATGTGACGTGTTGAAGTCATGTGGTGGAGTCACGTGTTGTAGTCACGTGTTGTAGTCACATGGTGGAGTCATGTGGAGTCACATGGTGGAGTCAGGTGGTGGAGTCACGAGGTGGAGTGACTTGGTAAAGTCATGTGGTGGAGTCACGTGGTGAAGTCACGTGGTGGAGTCACGTGGTGGTGTCACTAAAAGTCACGTGGTGAAGTCACGTGGTGGAGTCACGTGGTGGTGTCACTAAAAGTCATGTGGTGAAGTCACAACAAGGTCTTGCCCTTAAGTATTTTCTGTTAGTATATGAAGTTCATCCCTTCAATAATAGCAAAGTTACAGCCAGTTACAGCCAAAACTGTGAAAATTTCAATAATTTGAACATCAAAGTCAAAGTCATTAATGAGTGAAGGTCAAGGTCTGTCTGGTTATTTTTAAGAGTTATCCTTGAAGATTATTATGTTCAAGTTTGAAGACAATCCATACAAAAATAACAAAGTTATAGCCAATAATAGCCAAAACAAGAGCTGTCGGTAGGACAGCATGCTCGACTATTCTAAGTGCTTGATAGTAAAAGATCCTTGATAATGTTAAATTTTTTAAGTTCGCAAAAGGGCTAATTTTTTTTTATAAATTCATGTTATAGGCCTTAGAGAGAGTCTAATTATACAGAATTGGCTTGACTATTCGGAAGGTAATGTCACAAGGGTTTTTTATTGAGTATAATAATACTAATGTAACCTATGAATACATAAATTTGACAGAAAAGGTACAAAGGCTTGTTATTAAGATGTTTTATCAAGTAAATCACTGCTTTATTATTATGAATGCATAAAATTGTCCCAAAGAAGGCACAAACCCTTCAGTAGTTATTGAGATAACAGCTTACAAGCAAAACTTTACCATGAATTTCTAAGTTGAAAAAGGGGAGAAAAATCAGCCTAAATGCAAGATAGAATTATGGATCTTTGTCAGTGACCTACAATTATGACCCTAAATGCATATGTGAAGTTTTAAATAAATATCTTTAATAGTTATTGAGATATGTAAAACTTGCATGTAAACATTAACCAAGAGACTAAGTAGAAAAGGGGATATGAATCAGCCTTAATGCAAGATAGAGTTATGGAACTTGGTCAGTGACATACAATTATGACCCTCTAATTATGACCCTAAGTACATGTGTAAAGTTTCAAGTAAATATCTTTAAAGACCTTTAACCTTTAACCAAAATTTCTAAGTTAAAAAGGGGCAAATAATTCTGCAAATATTGCAGACAGAGTTTGCAATTTTGCAAACTGATGTACATTGTTACTATAAATAAGTATTTTAAATTTCAAATGAATATCTCAAGCAATAATTGAGATATTTGACTTTACAAAAAAACTTAAAGCAAAATTTCTAAGTTCCAAAGGGGCATAATTCTGTCAATATTGTAGGCAGAGTTATCCAACTTGTCAATCTGATGTACCTTGTTACTATAAATAAGTATTGTAAGTTTCAATTGAATATCTCAAGCAATAATTAAGATATTTGACTTTACAAAAAAACTTTAACCAAAATTTCTAAGTTCCAAAGGGGCACAATTCTGTCAATATTGTAGGCAGAGTTATCCAACTTCTCAATCTGATGTACCTTGTTACTATTAATAAGTATTGTAAGTTTCAATTGAAAATCTCAAGCAATAATTGAGATATTTGACTTTACAAAAAACTTTAACCAAAATTTCTAAGTTAAAAAGGGGCATAATTCTGTCAATATTGTAGGCAGAGTTATCCAACTTGTCAATCTGATGTACCTTGTTACTATAAATAAGTATTGTAAGTTTCAATTGAATATCTCAAGTAATAATTGAGATATTTGACTTTACAAAAAACTTTAACCAACACAGACACCGACGCGGACGCCGGGGTGACTACAATAGCTCTCATATTCTTCGAATAGTCGAGCTAAAAATGAAAATTTCAATTATTTGACCTTCAAAGTCAAGGTCATTTATGAGTGAAGGTCAAGGTCTGTCTGGTTATTTTTAAAAGATATCCTTGAAGATTATTATGTTCAAGTTTGAAGACAATCCATTCAAAAATAACAAAGTTACAGCCAATAACAGCATGAACAAGCAAAATTTTGACTTTTAACCTTGAAGGTCAAGGTCATTTATAGATGAAGGTCAAGGATAGTGTGGTCTACTGAAAGGTCTTGTCCCAAGGGTTGTTGTGGCCATGTATTAAGACAATACACCAAGAAATAAACAAGGAGGGCCATGATGGCCCTGAGGTCGCTCACCTGTATATAGCCCCCCCCCCCCCCCCCCCCCCAACACCCATAAGAAGATGTTTCATGCTAAACATCTAAGCGCTAGCTCATTGGGCCTTTTAAAAGAAGATTTTTTAAAGTTTTTACTATACAAATATACCCCCCTGGGGCGGGGCAAGTTTTGACCCCAGGGCTATTATTTGAACAAACTTTGTAGACACTTACTAGAAGATGTTTCATGCTTAATATCTAAACTCTAGCTATTTGGGTTTTTTCAAAGAAGATTTTAAGTTTTTGCTATACACATATAAGGAAAATCAATGACACCCGGGGCGGGGCCAATTTTGACCCCAGGGCTTTTATTTGATGTTTGTTTGTTTGTTTCATTTTGCACCTTTTTCCAACAGTATTTCAGTCATATAGGCGGGTAGTTTCCTAACCATCGTTCCTTGAGAGTTACACCTGTACTAGACTACCTTCCTCCACGCTAAACTACCAAAGCATCTCCCGGGGATCAAACCCACGCCAGAGAGGTAACTGGATTAGAAGTCATCGACTCTAACCCCTTGACCACGGAGGCGGCTTTTATTTGAAAAAACTTTGTAGACACTCACTTGAAGATGTTTCATTCTTAATATCTAAACTCTAGCTATTTGGGTTTTTTCAAAGAAGATTTTTTAAGTTTTTGCTATACACATATAAGGAAAATCAATGACCCCAGGGGCGGGGCCAATTTTGACCCCAGGGCTTTTATTTGAACAAACTTGGTAGACACCTATTAGAACATGTTTGATGCTAAATATCTTAGCTCTAGCTCTTTGAGTTCTTTAAAAAAAGATTTTTTAAGTTTTTACTATACACATATAGGGAAAATCAATGACCCCCTGGGGCAGGGCCAATTTTGACCCCAGGGCTTTTATTTGAACAAACTTGGTAGACACCCATAAGAAGATGTTTCATGCTGAACATCTAAGCTCTAGCTCAATGGGCTTTTTAAAAGAAGATTTTTTAAGTTTTTACTATACACATATAGTTAAAAACAATGACATCCCTGGGACGGGGCAAGTTTTGACCCCAGGGCTATTATTTGAACAAACTTTGTAGACACTTACTAGAAAATGTTTCATGCTTAATATCTAAACTCTACTTATTTGGGTTTTTTCAAAGAAGATTTTACGTTTTTGCTATACACATATAAGGAAAATCAATGACCCCCCGGGGCGGGGCGAATTTTGACCCCAGGTCTTTTATTTGAACAAACTTTGTAGACACTCACTTGAAGATGTTTCATGCTTAATTTCTAAACTCTAGCTATTTGGGTTTTTTCAAAGAAGATTTTTTAAGTTTTTGCTATACACATATAAGGAAAATCAATGACCCCCGGGGCAGGGCCATTTTTGACCCCAGGGCTTTTATTTGAACAAACTTGGTAGACACCTATTAAAACATGTTTGATGCTAAATATCTTAGCTCTAGCTCTTTGAGTTCTTTAAAAGAAGATTTTTACTATATGGATATAGGGAAAAGCAATGACCCCCATGGGGCGGGGCCAATTTTGACCCCAGGGCTTTTATTTGAACAAACTTGGTAGACACTCATTAGAACATGTTTCATGCTAAATATCTTAGCTTAAGCTCTTTGGGTTCTTAAAAAGAAGATTTTTAAGTTTTTACTATATGCATATAGGGAAAATCTGAATGACCCCCTTGGGCGGGGCCAATTTTGATCCCAGGGCTTTTATTTGAACAAACTTGGTAGACACTCACTAAAAGATGTTTCATGCCAAATATCTAAGCTCTAGCTCTTAGAGTTTTTTAAAAGAAGATATTTAAAGTTTTTTCTTTCGGTTGCCATGGCAACCAGAGTTCTGCATGGAATTAAAGTCTTTGAACAATTTTTAAAGGTGACCACCAAAGGAACATTCCTGTTAAGTTTGGATGAAATTAACCTAGTAGTTTATGAGGAGATGTCATTTAAAGTAAAAGTTTACGGACGACGGACGGACGACAGACGGACGCCTGACGAAAAGCGATCACAAAAGCTCACCCTGTCACTTTGCGACAGGTGAGCTAAAAAGTTATGATCCAGGTACAAGTTTGCTGACGACAACGCCGCCGCAACTATAACAATACCTCTACTTTTTTTTCAAAAATGGTGAGTGGCAAGTGATTTCATGCTAGTGACAGAGCTCTGATTACCAATAATAACATTATGTCAATGGCATTTTGTCCATTTAAAATTGCATATATAACTTTCCCTGACAAAACAAATAGTCTGTTTTTTATCACTCAACATAAACAGTCAAAAACAGAGATCATATTCTCTATAAAAAAAATTGTCAAGAGAAGTATTACTCCATATTGACAAGATGAGGATGCATTACCAGAGCTAATCTTTTCCTTTACCACAGTCTGTGTGTCAATGATTTCTTTTCGAAATGTTTCGTCATCAACTTTATTTTCACTTGTACTGTCTGTATCTACTGTAGCATCACTCCTGTCATCATCATCTGAAAGTACAAAATGTATATTTGTTACCCTGTAAAATTTTGTCGCACTTGACAATTTTTACAGGCATAATCCAATATGGTGATGTTCCAGCTTTATATGTGAAGAGAACAGATGCCTTTTCTAAACATATCTCATTTCATTCTAGCAAAGAACTAAAATGTATATGTATTCATGTATAATAATAACAACATAAAAGGGTCATACAATCCCCGGATTGCTAACCTGAGATACATGGCTAGAAATTGTATTGTTGGTCACTGTCACCTTTGACCTACCTACCTTATATCATTATCTCTAATCAAGACCAAACTCTCCTCTAAATTTGCTGGCTATAGGCCAAAGTTTTCTCTTGAAACTAATATAACAAACTTAGAGACATAATCATATCAGAAGACTTTAGTCTGTTGGGGTTTTTTTTGCATTAAGGATATAAAAGATGAATGTCCAATGGACCAACCTACATGTGCAAACCAGTATATCCTTACTTCAACGAAAGCATAAATTATTAAGTTTTGTGAGATTATATTGCTTGAAATAAATGATTATAACAGATATATATATATATTTAGCAAGGAATTCATGTTTTAATGAATGCAATGCACCTCTGATCTACCTATCTGGAGCATAAAAAACACAATTAAGATAACAAACTGTGCTGACCTTTTGATGTTGAAATATTGTTCAAACTAATATTCTCAGCATCTGGTACCCTGTCTTTGACAGCAAGTGGTACCATGCCTTCAACAGCATCTGCAACAAGATTGCTTACAAACTTTTAAACTGTTTCAACAAATTGGAATTTTGTATGTATTCAACTTGAATTCTCAAGATTATATGAGCCATGTCACGACGAAACCAACATAATGCGTTTGAGACCAGCATGGATCAAGACCAGCCTGCGCATCCGTGCAGTCTGATCAGGATCCATGCTGTTCGCTTACAGACCCTATAACAAGTAAAGAAACTGATAGCGAACAGCATGGATCCTGATCAGACTGCGCAGGCTGGTCTGAATCCATGCTGGTCGCAAACCCATTATGTTGGTTTTGTCGTGACGCGGCTCATATGCAGATAACTTTAACTAAATGTGTATCTTTCATATTGCCACTGCAAATAAATCTAATTAATATTCTTTACAACTTTATACATAGAAAGAAGAGATGGTTTACACAGTATGACTTGAAAGATTTTGTCAATTGGGAAAACTTTATGCAGAAAACGTCTCTGGAAAACAAATACATGTATGTGGATCATGTCTGCTACAGTCAAAAATTAATCATAATTTCTTCAAATCAAATTACCTTCAACTGACTGTGCTGAAGATGTATTTGAATCTGTAAGGTCACCAGGCACTTGTAAATAGGCACAAGAGGGCACTGAAATTGTAACAAGAGCTGTCCGTAAGACAGCGCGCTCGACTTTTTTATTGCTTGCCAATAAAAAAAGTTTTTGCAGTAAAAGGCAATACAAGAATCTCTGTATTTTTAAAGTGAACAATGGCCATGAGCATTAAGATATTTAGTGAAGAATTATTTAAAACTGAAATTGAATATTACAGCAATGTTTATATGACATAATTTATGGTAAAGTGAACAAGTGGAAAGGAATGATTTTTTTAGATTTTTTTAAGTTTTTTAGTGCTTGCCTATAATACAAAACATTGACAGTTAAGGGCCATAATTCAAATAAAATCTTTGACAGAATTACCTTCTCCTGGACATGTTTGGGAATCATGATTGTAAACAAGTCGTTATTCCAACTTTCAAATTAATATCTCAAACAGTTCAGTCAAAAAGTGGACTGGTACTAAAAACTTAACCAAGATTCTAAGTCGATAAAAGGCCTTAATTTTAAAAACAAATCCTTGACAGAGTTACCTTCTCTTGCGTACAGATGGGGGTAATGATGTGAAATAGCATTAAAAGTTTCAAAGCAATATCTCAAAGGGTTAAGGCAATAAGTGGATTTTACCCATATTCAATGTATTTTCTAAGTCAAAAAGGGGCATAATTCTGTCAAAAACCTTGACAGAGTTATGTCCTCTTGTCTGTTGATGAAGGTCGTGATGGTAAACAAGTATGGTCAGTTTCAAAGCAATACCTCCAATGGTTTTGAAATAAAGTGAGGTGGTACAAAAAACTTAACCAAGCTCAATACACTTTCTAAGTTCAAAAAAGGGCCATAATTCTGTCAAAAACCTTGACAGAGTTATGTACTCTTGTCTGTAGATGGAGGTTATGATGGTGAACAAGTATGGTAAGTTTCAAAGCCATACTTGTAATACTTCTGAAATAAAGTGGGGTGGTACGAAAAACTTAACCAAGGTGTGACGCCAACGCCGACACCGACGCCGACGCGGGGCGAGTAGGATAGCTCCCCTTTTCATAGAAAAGTCGAGCTAAAAAAGTAAAAAGATTTTATTTTGGAATATATCGAGAGCAAGAATTATTTTAAGAAAAGTACTGGTTCTGGTTCTATGTTCCATGCTTATGAAGTCAATTTTACATAGTAGCAGGATCTGAAAATGACTTATTTATAATGAAAAAGGCAAGCTTCATAAACCCCCCCCCCCACACACACACTCAAAAAAAGTTTAACTTACCAGTAAAGATATACATGGTTAGAATTCTACCACCATGTATCTTCATTAAAAATTGTACACTATCATGACAAATAAATAGATGTTTGTTTGTTTGTTTGGCTTTTATGTCACATCGACACAGTATAGGTCATATCGCGACGTTCCAGCTTTACTGGTGGAGGAAGACCTCAGGTGCCCTTCCGTGCATTATTTCAGGCACGAATGGGCACCTGAGTAGAACCACAGACGTTCCGTAAGCTAGCTGGATAGCTTCCTCACATGAAAGAATCCAAAGTCCATGTCGGGATTCGAACCCACAGCAGTGAGGGGCAAGTGGTTTGAAGTCAACGACCTTAACCACTCGCCCACAGACGCCCCATAAATAGATGTAGTTCTAATACATAAATCGTTGCCATAACCATATTGATAGAGAAACCCTAAAAGAATCTGTTAAAGAAGTGCACAAAGAATGACTGTAAATAAATGAATTTTGATCTTAGGTTTTTGGATATACGAAAGCGTATCTTGTGGTAAGTGTTTTAGTCATCTGGATGCATACAGCTTGATTGTTAAAGTTCAAGTTGTTAACAAAGCCCTTAGGCTGTTTTTGGTGTACATAATATGGATATATATAATTATATAGTATATATATAGATATATATATATATATATATATATATATAGTAAAACTTCGTTCGCTCGAACTCGGATCGCTCGAATACCTCCCTTCGCTCGAACTCATCGCCCAGTCCCGGCAAAAATTCCCTATATAATATATTGTTGTTCTACTCGGATCGCTCGAAACACGCGATCGCTCGAACTCTCGAACCAATGCTCTAGTCCCTTCGCAGAAATATAGTGAAAAATCAACACCCTTTTTGGTCAAAACACAAAAAAGACAAGTCGGTATGTCCTAAATAAATGACAGTAGGTCGACACAATGTTTTTAACACCTCGTGATCGTGACAAAGGTAATAAAGGTTAATTGAATAACAAAACAGAAGGTGGTTGTAACCAATTAATTTTGTATGATAATATTGGTTGATTTGCCGTTTATGGGTAACGATAAAAAGAAAATAACTTGTGAAATAAAAGTGAAATAATGCAGCAAAAAAGATGAACGTTTTACCCGGACGGGCTTTGTAATTACAACCGTGTTCATGTAAGTGGATATCTATTTATAGAAAGATAGCTTGTATGTGTGTTTATTTAGTAATGACTACAATAGATGCCTGCTTGTAAATGTTTTTAATAAATATTTCATTAATTATTTTTTAAAATTAAAATTCATCCCATTATAACATATAAATATTTTTATACAATTGTTCAACAAGATTGGTGTTAATTGCCCAATCGAACTAACCAATAACAAAATATGCTGTAATAGCGTACGCGTTAATCTTAATTTAAGAACACTGGATTATAATTCTACATAATGAATATTCGAAACGAACAGATATACTAACAAACAATTAATATTGACGCATTTATCATTTGCCGATGTAAGCTAAGGAAAACCTTTAGGCAAAGGATCAACGTAATAATAGTTCAACCACGGTTGGCTCGAACTCCGATTCTCTCGAACAAATTTGCACAGGCCCTCCGAGTTCGAGCGAACGAAGTTCGACTGTATATATATATATATATATAAATCAATTAGGGTCATCTACTGGCCAAGACCAATGCACCTATGCAGGTTGAGGGTCAAGGGCCCATGGGTTGTCAAATTATTGAAGGGAAACCATTTTTACCTACAAGGTCAATATGACCTTGACCTTTGACCCCTTACCCAAAAACAAGTAGGGGTCATCAACTTGCCAAGGCAAATGCACCTACAAACTTTGAGGGCCATGAGCCCATGGGTTGTCATGTTATTGATTGGAAACCATTTTTACATACAAGGTCAATGTGACCTTCACCTTTGACCACTTGACCCAAAATTAATAGGGGTCATTTACTTGGCAAGACAAATGCTCCTACAAACTTTGAGGGCCATGAGCCCAGGGGTTGTCATGTTATTGATCGGAAACCATTTTTACGTACAAGGTCAATTTGACCTTGACCTTTGACCCCTGACCCCAAAATCAATAGGGGTCATCTACTGGTCATGAACAATCCCAATATTAAGTTTGAAATTCCTAGGCCTTAGCGTTCTTTAGTTATTGATCGAAATCCATTTAGTCCATGGACCGGCCAACCAACCCATGGACAGACAGATGCAAAGCAATATACCCAAACTTCTTTGAAGGGGGGCATAAAAATTTGTCAAATAATAAAGGTACTAATTGACACTGTGTGATGACAGGACAGATGAAGAAATGGTAAGCAGAACAAACAAGAACTATCACTGAATGTGATTAATACCCCCACCAATGTCCTTGACAGAAGACGACTTGGAAAGATTGTTAAGGGAATAACTTAAGTGGCACAAATACATAAAAAGAAATTACCTCTGGTGAAAAAATGACTAATTGTACAGGTAATAGTATAAGTATATATTATCAAATCATGTTCGAAACAGTTATAAATAACCTTTCATTTTCCAAATGTAATAAACCTTTCATAAGTCAATTCTAGACCTTTAAGTGTGGGCTTGACCTTAGGTTGGGCAACAAGGTAAGATAAGGTCCTGCAAAATCGCCAAAAAGTTGGGGGTGAAACATTTGAAAGTAAAGTTTAGAAGAAAATCCTTCCATTATAATAGAATTTATAGAGTCGGACACCAACATATTGTCTAGGTATTGATTGTATGTAAATTTAGGCAGACTTAAAAAAGGGGTATAAACTTTGTCAAGAATGCAATACAGAGTTATGAAACTTGACGCTGGCATATCTTATTTGTGACACCTCATATATCTTCTTTTAAGTTAAAGCAAATACCTGTGGCTAGTTTCAGAAATATTCAAAGTACATGTTAAACATTTTAAGAAGCATTTTCTAAGTCAATTTTTGACCTCTAAGTGTGACCTTGACCTTTAGCCGGCACAAAAGGTGACATGGATTCTGCACATAACCTTGTTGAGGTGACATTTGAGTAAAGTTTGAAAGAAAATTCTTACGCATTAGTATGAGGATTTATAGAAGGCGGACACAAACAAACATTTTCATATAATTTTTAATTTGTTTCGAATTTGAAGACTTAAAAAAGGGCATAAACTTTTTTAAATGCAATACAAGAGTTATGAAAGCTTTGACTGCATATCTTAATTGTGACACATATATACAGTCAAGGACTGGCCTAAGCGGGACCCCACTGATTTAAACGACTCTCCCTGTCTTATCCGACCTTGTTCAGTACTCCCAACGTGTATTTTCCTATATAAATGGTCTGAATTAAACGACTCCCTGTCATATGTGACAAGCTAACCCTAATTGTCTGGTCCCACATGCAGTGTTTGGTTCTGATGTAAATAGGGACTTTCACAACACCTTTTTATTGTCCCTGGTTAAATCAGATAAATAATACTGTCATAACACCCCAGAAGGGCCAAAAATTAATTAAGGTCCAAATTATAATCAAGTAACAAACAAAGTCTACATATCCCCTCTATCTCAACTACTCAGTTAACATGTATAATATGCATGGTATCGAAGTGAATGTAGGCAAGCAATGATGCAATCGATGTGTAATGTACAATAATGGCCTGAGTAAACTGGGTTAGACTTGTGTTAAGATTTTTTTTAATTATAGAGTGCCCACAGAAAGATTTTTAAGGCAGCAATTTTTTTTAAAATTTTATCTTTTCTAAATGGGGCTGCATAATTAATAGGGAAAAAAATATTGATACGCAAACGCAGATAAAAGCTGTGGTTTTAAATTATATGGAAAGGTTTAAAGATCCTGTAAACACATTTTTTTCATGGTTTTTATTTCATAAATATTGATGCTCAAATATAAGATTTTTGTCATATTGTTAAGTTCAAAATAGAGCATTTTTTATAAAAGATATCGGGCCCGCAATTAAACATTTCATTGTAAATATAAAGGCCATTAAAGGGAGGTAATTAAGAACTTTATTTTCTATAAATTCTAAGTCAAAATTTTTCAATAAGAAATCAATTGCAATGTAATCTATTGATTAATAAAAAATGTGCCAAAAACAAAAAATTAAATTTTTTTGGCGCAGGTAAACAAAACATTTTACATATTGCTTTGATGTTTGAACATTAATTTTATTTGCATAATTAATATCCATATATATTTTTTGCAAAAGTGTGATATACAAACGTAAAACAATAATCAAATCACAAATCATACAGGATTTTTATGTCACAATGGTATATAGACAGATAGATAATATTTAAAAGTATATTTTTCTTTGAGACTGTATTTAGAGACTCCCTGTCATATGTGACCTTTTTCTGAAGATCCCTTGGAAAGTAACATTTGACAGTCTCGACTGTATTTAAAATCTAGCAAATACCATTTCTAGATTCAGAAATATTCAAATAAACGTTAAAATATAAGAATAATTTCTAAGTCAATTTTTGACCTTCAAGTGTGACCTTGACCTTATGCCGGCAAAAGGGTGACATGGGTTCTGCACATTACCTTGTTGAAGTGAACATTTGAGCCAAGTTTGAAGAAAATCCTTCAATTAGTGTAGGAAATACAGAGCAGACACAACATACTGTCTAATATTTTATTGTTTGATATTTGACCTTAAATTGCTACATGACCTTAAGCTGACACATGGGCAACATGGGTTCTGCACATCCCCTTGTTGAGGTGAACATCTGAGCCAATATTGATGGAAGTCCTTCAATTGGTATAGGAGTTATAGAGAGGACACAACATACTGTCTAATATTTGATTGTTTGATATTTGACCTTTAATTGTGACCTTGACCGGACTACTGACCGACCGACATGGGTTTTGCACATTCCCTTGTTGAAGTGAACATTTGAGCCAAGTTTGAAGAAAATCCTTCTATTAGTATAGAACTTACAGAGCGGACACAACATACTGTCTAATATTTGATTGTCTGATATTTGACCTTTAATTATGACCTTGACCTTTAGCTGACACATGGGCAACATGGGTTTTGCACATCCCCTTGTTAAAGTGAACATTTGAGTCAAGTTTGAAGAAAATCCTTAAATTAGTGTAGGACTTACAGAGCAAACACAACATACTGTGTAATATTTTATTGTTTGATATTTGACCTTCAATTGTGACTTTGACCTTAAGCTGACACATGGGCGACATGGATTTTGCACATCCCCTTGTTAAAGTGAACATTTGAGTCAAGTTTGAAGAAAATCCTTCAATAAGTGTAGGACTTACAGAGTGGACACAACATACTGTGTAATATTTTATTGTTTGATATTTGACCTTCAATTGTGACCTTGACCTTGAGCTGACACATGGGCAAAATGGGTTCTGCACACCCCTTGTTGATGTGAACATTTGAGCCAAGTTTGAAGAAAATCCTTCAATTAGTGTAGGACTTACAGAGCGGACACGACATACTGTCTAATATTTGATTGTGTTTGATATTTGACCTTCAATTGTGACCTTGACCTTAAGCTGACACATGGGCAACATGGGTTCTGCACATCCCCTTGTTGAGGTGAACATTTCAGCCAAGTTTTAAGAAAATCTTTCAATTAGTGTAGGACTTACACAGTGGACACGAAAATGGAGACGGACGGACAGACTGACCGACGCGACAAAGCAAATCCATTATAGCCCCCCGCCACATTTTGTGGTGGGGGTATAACTAGTGACTATCCTTCACATACTTCAGGGAGCATAGAAAAATACCATTTATCTCTAATGCTTGAAATAAAAAAAGAACCTTACCACATCTATTTGGAAAACAGCACACTTTTATTAGTATTACCACAATCAAAATCAGTACCGAACAGAAACCTACAAATAAAAAGACATGAGTAAATATATGATCTACATATATAATTGATGTTATGACATTAACTGTTATTACACTGTTAGGCTCTGTATTCAGGAATAATGTACCAGTCAAATCTCAACCTTGTTTACTGATTGGATGGGACCAAACAAAGTGACAAATATAACTGACACCACTCTCTACCATGTGCCATGTGGGAATAATTATAAACCTCCCAAACTATGTTTGATAAAGAGTACAACAATTAATCTGTTATTAGTTGAAATAATGATTTAATAAGGAAGCTCATAATATTGTTGAATGTAAATATCCTAATCTCCAAATAGATGTATGAAAAACCTCATACTTAACACCAAAATTTAGATGAATTTCACACTATGCAAATGGTCTTATTTCTTTAACTCATGCTGGTTAATAAAGTTTTCTATGCCAATTTTGACACTTTGTTTTCTTGTTTTGGTTATCAGTTCACCTAACAAGCTTCCTGTAATTACCCATTCCTCCACAAGTTACCTACTACTAATCCTGCATGATTTCTGAGAAGCTGTGAAAGACAAATCATTGACAATTTGACTCAATGTCTGAAGTCAATTGTCATAAAGAAATCTTGCTTTGCCCAAGAGTCAAACCTACAACCACTGGATTACAAATCAGAAGCTCGCTCTATTGAGATAAGCCAGTAAGAATGTGAGGTAAACAGTTTTTTTTTCAACAAAACAAACAGAATATTCTTACCTATAATGACATAATACAATGGAACCAGATGATAAGATTTATCTTTTTCCTCTTCGTTTAACTTAGCTTCATTGTCATCATCTTAAAACAAAATGTTTACAATACATTATACGACTATACCCCCAGCAGAGCTTTTCAAGAAGTGTCTTCTTATGTCTGTAGGAAGACACTTTTATACAAGAACCGGTTGAACCGGGTGATGCTCCCCGAGAAAGTTCTGGACACAGGAAAGTATAAAAAAAATGAACAAAGGGCAATAACTCCAAAATTAGACCAGGCTTTGTTTAGGTTCTTTAAGCATTGCAGTTCTATCCAATTATATCTAGCTACCTACAAAGTTTCATGTTGATATCTCTAATAGTTTTAAAGTAATGTCCAGGACAAAAGTCAAAAAGTAAAAATAAACAAAGGGCAATTACTTTCAAAATAAGGCAAGGCAGAGTAATGATTTTTAAGCACTGCACTTCACCAATGAGACCTATCTATCTACAAAGTTTCATGTTGATATCTCTTATAATTTTAGAGTAATGTCCCAGACAAAGTTCAAAGTGTCAAAATGAACAAAGGGCAATAACTCCAAAAGTAGGCAAGACAGTGTTACAGTTCTTGTGCACTGCAAACTTACTCAATGAGATCTATCTACTTACAAAGTCTCATGTTGATATCTCTTATACATTAAGAGTTATGTTCCGGACAAAGTTAAAAAGTGTAAAAATAAACAAAGGGGGATAATTAAAAAATCAGGCAAGGTAGAGTTACGGTTCTTGTGCACTGCACTACTACTCAATGAGATCTATCTACCTACAAAGTTTCATGTTGATACCTCATATACTTTAGAGTTATGTCCTGGGCAAAGTTCAAAGTGTAAAATAAACAAAGGGGGATAAAATTAATAAAATAAGGCAAGGCAGAGTTACGGTTCCTTGTGCAACTGCAACTTCTAACTCAATGAGATCTATCTAACTACAATGTTTCATGTTGATACCTCTTATACTTTTAGAGTTATGCTCCCAGACAAAGTTAAAAGTGTAAAATAAACAAAGGGGGATAATTCAAAAATTAGGGCAAGGCAGAGTTACAGTTCTTGTGCACTGCACACCTACTCAATGAGATCTATCTACCTACAAAATTTCATGTTGATAACTCTTATACTTTTAGAGTTATGTCCGGACAAAGTTCAAAAGTGTTAAAATAAACAAAGGGGGATAATTCAAGAATTAGGCAAGGTAGAGTTACGGGTTCTTGTGCAACTGCACTTCTACTCAATGAGATCTATCTACCTACAAAAGTTTTCATGTTGATACCTCTTATACTTTTAGAGTTATGTCCCAGGACAAATTTCAAAGTGTAAAATAAACAAAGGGGGGTAATTCAAAAAATTAGGCAAGGCAGAGTTTACGGTTCTTGTGGCACTGCACACCTACTCAATGAGATCTATCTACCTACAAAGTTTCATGTTGATACTTCTTATACTTTTAGAGTTATGTCCCGGACAAAGTTCAAAGTGTAAAATAAATAAAGGGGGATAATTCAAAAATTAGGCAAGGCAGAGTTACGGTTGTTGTGCACTGCACTTCTACTCAATGAGATCTATCTACCTACAAAGTTTCATGTTGATACCTCTTATACTTTTAGAGTTATGTCCCGGACAAAGTTCAAAGTGTAAAAATAAACAAAGGGGAATAATTCAAAAATTAGGCAAGGTAGAGTTACGGTTCTTGTGCACTGCACTTCTACTCAATGAGATCTATCTACCTACAAAGTTTCATGTTGATACCTCTTGTTGTTACAAAGTTATGTCCCGGACAAGAAAAGGGGACGGACGGACGGACGGAAAGACGGACGGACGGACGGACGGACAAGGCGGCGACTATATGCTCCCCCGAAATTTTTTCGGGGAGCATAATAACCTTTACTTTCATAGTGGGTTTAATACAGTTGAAGCAGGTGTCCTGCTTGGGCCAGTTAAAGGACTCTTCTTCATATGTTATATTTCTTTCCTATAGTCTTGCCCGCCTTTCTGTACCTTTACAGATAAATTAGTAGCAATATTTTACATTCTGGCAATAAACTTTTCACGCCATTCAACGCTGAATTTGTCTCATTCATATAATTTCTCATACTTTAATCCTCGTGGGAATCAAACTAAAAATCTTGGCGATGATTAACCTTAATTTTCCATGTTTTTTGCCTGAACTGTAACCTATTTACAGTACCAATGTCTATAGTGAAAGTTCTTTGAAAGAGAATGTTAAATCTGGCTACTTATCTTTTAACAAGAGCCAGTGCGCTCGACTGTTCTCAGTGCTTGATAGTAAAACAAGTTCCTGAATAATGTATAATTTTTTATCTGTCAAAATTCATATTTACAATAGCTCTTCTATTTTTTTAAATAGTCCAGCGTAAACAGTCAAAAATTTAGTCAATCTTAAAAAGTAACAGGGATATTTTAACTGCCTCAAACAGGACACCATAGAAACTGACTGAAAGTTGTAGCAATGAATCAAATCAATTGGATGGCAATTTCCAGGAAAAAAGTGACTGTTGATTTTAGCATTGACGGAACTAACAATAGTTTGTTGGATGATGCTAAAACTTTATCATTTTTTTGGTATATTGTCTGACATTATAAAAAACAACAACATTTACATGACATTTACTGTCACATCCCAACTCTAAAAAAATCATCAGCCATATCCAGCTGAACATTGTGTTAAGCTAAGCTTGTTAATAAGGAATTTACTAAATTTATGGATCAAAACATTATCCATTTAACATTGACACAAAACATGTTCAGAGACGGTTTCAATGTTGAATGAGTTAATTAATCTCACTCATGAAGGCAGGCATTTTAACATTATTTATCATGAATAAAAGTGAATTATGTCCGATTCAAGGGCAATAACTCTAAAAAATACTTAATATATCCAAATGAAAATACCCAGGTCCACAACTTCACATGCTGATCAATATTTCTGTAAGGTTTCACGACTCTAGGTCAATTTGAGTTACATGCGACACAATAATGTTAAAGACGGACGGACAAGCATAAATCTAAATCCCCCCCATTATGGGGAGGGGGGGTGGGGGGGGGGGGGCACAAACAAAAAGATACTATACAGGTACTGGTAACAAGTTTGGTAGAAATGAAAAAAATTAAAATTTTTTCCTCCAGATAAAGAATTGTGAAGAGAGATAGACAAACATTGAACCCTGCAAGTAATAATCTTCTGCAAGATAGCTAGATAACTCTCTTACATGATTCAACTTTACCAACAGGATAAGAAAATGTAGCTGCAAGGAGCGTATCACACTTAACCATCCACACAACACAAACATAAAGGTACCTAAAATCAGCATCATAATCTAAAACAAGACAGATCATGACTTATACTTTACCTTTTTCCATTTCTTTCATAACTCCTATCTCTTTCTTTGGTCCTGCCTCTGAAGAACTATTGCCTGCAAGATTACCTGTCCCATTCCTACAAAATACAAGTATTACCTAATATGTATTTCACACCTTTTAAATGTAACCAATAAATTTACACCATGTGATCATCCCATATCAATCATTTATTAATTAAGCCTTGTGTCAAACATGAGCCGGTTGAACTGGATGATGCTCACCGAATAGGTTTTGGACACAGAAAGGTAAACCTCTTGTAGTGTTAGAGTTACGTCACAGACAAAGTTCAAAGTGTAAAAACAACCCAAATGATGCACTTGACACTTTGTCTCAATATTGTGATCATTTCTTTGAAATAGTTTTAAAATCCAACTTAAATAACAAAGTTATGGGCTGGACACCATTTACTGCAAGGTCATGCTGTGACCTTGACCTTCAAGATAGCGACCAAAATGTTGCTCGCCACACATCGTCTCAATATGGTGATCATTTCTGTGAAATAGTTGTAAAATCTGACTTCAATTAACAAAGTTATGGGCTAGACAATATTTTTGCAGCAAGGTCATGCTGTGACCTTGACCTTCAACGTAGCCAAATAGTTTTAAAATCCAACTTCAAATAACAAAGTTATGGGCCGGACACAATTTTGGATTTTGCTGCAAGGTCATGCTGTGTCCTTGACCTTCAAGGTAGCTACCCAAATGTTGCGGGACACAGGTCGTTTCAATATGGTGATCATTTCAGTGAAACAGTTTTAAAATCAGACTTCAAATAACAAAAGTTATGGGCCCGACACGATTTTGCTGCAAGGTCATGCTGTGACCTTGACCTTCAAGATAGCAACCCAAATGTTGCGTGGGACACATTCTCTCAATATGGTGATCATTTCTGTGAAATAGTTTTAAAATCAAACTTCAAATAATGCAGTACTAGGCTTGACAAAATTTTTGTTGCAAGGTCATGCTGTGACTTGACCTTCAAGGTAGTGACCCAAATGTGTTCGCGCCACACATTGTCTCAATATTGTGATCATTTCTGTGAAATAGTTTTAAAATCTGACTTCAAATAACAAAGTTAAAGGTCGGACACAATTTTGCTGCAAGGTCATGCTGTGACCTTGACCTTCAAGGTAGCAACCGAAATCTTGCTCGTGACACATCGTTTCGATATGGTGATCATTTCTGTGAAATAATTTTAAAATCCCGACTTGAAATATCAAATTTATGGGCCAGACACGATTCTGCTGCAAGGTCATGCTGTGACCTTGACCCTCGAGGCAGCGACCCAAATGTTGTGGGTGACAAGTGGTCTCAAAGTGGTGATCATTTCTATTAAATAGTTTTAAAATCAGACCTTAAATAACAGTTATGGGCCGAAAAAGAATGCGGGACGTACATACAGACGGACAGATGGACAACCTAGCGACTATAATTTTATGCTCCCCTGAAAATTTTTTGGGGGAGCATAAAAAAAACTTCAAAGCCATATTTTACTTCATGTAGCCCTGTTTTCATTTGTAGCCTAGTTTTCATTTTCAGAGTCCAAAATGGATAAATCAAATACATACAGTGTATTGTACTCTACTCTAATACATGTATAATGCCAAACAAGAACCACAGCCAATGGGGCAGGTGGAGGGGGGAGCTCATTTTTTTTTTCTACAGGTAAACACATTAGAGGAAGATCATTGTAGAAATTATACAAACGGGTTCTCTATTGAGATAACATCATTTTTTTTGTACAAAAATTATTTAAAATTTCATATTTGATATTGAGAGTCAAGGTCATTTTCAAACTAATGTCATCAGTATAAAACTCAATTTTGTACTCAACCATGTATAATCTCATAGCATTTTGCAGAACTTGGACACAATCATTCTGTAAATTGCTTATCCCATGCAAAGTGATTTATGGAAAAGGAAAAAGTGTGATATCAGTAAGAGAGCTTAATGTATTAAAAAAAAAAAACATTAGAAATTAAACACAATGTTTATGTTTAGTTCCGAATAAGCTGGTGCTGGCATAAAATATTGTTTGTAATTTCCATGAATAGGCTCAATCAAAGAAAGTCTACAACACTTTCAATTTTGCTATTATTAGGCATTCCTAACTGTACAATTTTTAAGATTAGTTGGGTTCAATTTATCAACTGAAAATACAAATTAGATAACTATATATGATGTATGATGAATTATGATCAAACTAGAATTGTGTCCATAGGACACGGGTGCCCCCACACTCCACACATTTGTTAATCTTATGTCTCTAGGTCAAATATGTTTTTTGGCTACATGTGCCCAAGTTGAAAACTAAAAAATATTTTATTAAGTAATTAAGGGTAAATACTACAAATACTGAATAAATCCACAAGAAAACCCAAACGTGCATAAGTACATATGTTGACCAACATTCTTGTAAACTTTCAGGCCTACATACAAGTCATAAACTTTTTGAGTTACGTTCAACACAAGTTAAATATTGTAAATTTTTACTAAGTCAAAGGCAATAACTCTAACAAGAGCCACCGCCGGGCGGGGGCAACGCTCTACTTTTTACTTTTTCTAAACGCAAACATAGAAAAGTTTGAACATATCTTAATGTTTCCTTTTTATAAATTAGTTGGTCTGTCTTGTCACATAAGTTTTGTTTATATATTTGTAAATATATATGAATAGAAACAATAAGCAAATTTCTAAAAATAGCAACATTACGCAATTTCTTAAATTAGCAACATGACGCAATTTCTTAAAATAGCAACATGACGCAATTTCTAAAAATAGCAACAATGACGCAATTTCTAAAAAAAGCAACAATGATGCAATTTCTCAAAATAACAACAATGACGCAATTTCTAAAAATAACAACAATGACGCAATTTCTAAAAATAGCAACAATGACGCAATTTCTATAAATAGAAACAATGGCGCAATTTCTAAAAATAGCAACAATGACGCAATTTCTAAAAATAGAAACAAGGAACATCGCAATGCGATGCAACCAGGTTTTCAGCAAAATATTTCACAGAAGCTTTGTCATGAAGGGGCATTTGTTTTCAATTGAACTTTTAGGAGGAATTATGGCTTTTTTAATATTCCTCAAACAAAAATGATTGAGAAATTTTATGTTGTCTATTCGCCTTTTTTTCCCAAATGTTTTAGAAAGGTAAACAGTACTTTATTTTTGCTTAATTTTTGCATTTTTGCGTCTCTTGTCATTTTCTTTTGTCAACAATATTGGCGTGTGGTGTTTTGTGCGATATCAAGAAAAGTATGTTCAAAATTTTAAAAAAATACTTGAATGATGTCTTGGAAGAAACATGGAAATTTAGTGAGCGCCAGGGCACTTGATGACAAAGCTTCTGTGAAAGTTTGGTCAAAATCCATTGACAAATGTAGGAGAAGTTGCGCACAGAAGAAATTGTTCACTATATATTCTGTATAAGGAAAAAATATACAAAGGGCCATAATTCGGTCAAATATTATCCAATCACAAAACCCCGACAATATGTGCCAGGCACTTGATAACAAAGCTTCTAAGAAAGTTTGGTCAAAATCCGTTGAGAAATGTAGGAGGAGTTGAGCACACAAGAAATTGTTCTCTATATATTCTGTATAAGGAAAAAATATACAAAGGGCCATAATGCGGTCAAATATTATCCAATCACAAAAACCCGACAATATGTGCCAGGCACTTGATAACAAAGCTTCTAAGAAAGTTTGGTCAAAATCCGTTGAGAAATGTGAGAGGAGTTGCGCACAGAAGAAATTGTTCACTATATATTCTATATAAGGAAAAAAAACAAAGGGCCATAATTGGGTCAAATATATTCCAATTGCAAAACCCTGGCAATATGTGTACAGGGCACTTGATGACAAAGCTTCTGAGAAAAGTTTGGTCAAAATCCGTAGAGAAATGTAGGAGGAGTTGCGCACAGAAAAAATTGTTTCACTATATATTTTATATAAGGAAAAAAAACAAAGGGCCATAATTAGGTCAAATATTATCTAATCGCAAAACCCGACAATATGCGCCAGGGCACTTGATGACAAAGCTTCTGTGAAAGTTTGGTCAAAATCCGTTGAGAAATGTAGGAGGAGTTGCGCACAGAAGAAATTGTTACGCCCGCCCGCCCGCCCATCCGCCCGCCCGCCGACATACCTCAATCTAATAACCAGTTTTTTCCTTCGGAAAAACCTGGTTAAAAATGATGCAATTTCTAAAAATACAAAAAATATGACGCAATTTCTAAAAATAGCAAGAATGACGCAATTTCTATAAATAGAAACAATGATGCAATTTCTAAAAATAGAAAAAATGACACAATTTCTAAAAATAGAAAAAATGACGCAATTTCTAAAAATAGAAAAAATGACGCAATTTCTAAAAATAGCAACAATGATGCAATTTCTAAAAATAGAAAAAATGACGCAATTTCTAAAAATAGGAAAAATGACGCAATTTCTAAAAATAGCAACAATGATGCAATTTCTAAAAATAGAAAAATGACGCAATTTCTAAAAATAGAAAAAATGATGCAATTTCTAAAAATAGCAACAATGACACAATTTCTAAAAATAGAAAAAAGGACGCAATTTCTAAAAATAGAAAAAATGATGCAATTTCTAAAAATAGCAACAATGATGCAATTTCTAAACATAGAAAAAATGACGCAATTTCTAAAAATAGAAAAAAAGGACGCAATATCTAAAAATACGCAATTTCTAAAAATAGAAACAATGAAGCAATTTCTAAAAATAGAAACAATGACGCAATTTCTAAAAATAGAAAGAATGACGCAATTCTATAAATAGAAACAATGACCCAATTCTATAAATAGAAACAAGACGCAATTCTATAAATAGAAACAATGACTCAATTCTAGTTGTTGTTGTTGTTGTAAATATATATATATATATATAATATATATATAGACACACACACACACACACACCAATAAATATATAATTATGGTCATTTAATGCACAAATCTGAGAAAATTCAGTAATTTAACCTTCAAGGTCAAGGTCATTAAAGAGCCCAAGCAAATTTGGGTTTGATAAACAACAAGGTCTGGTCCTTAAGAATGTTCAAGTTGATCCCTTCAATAATATCAAAGTTACAGTCAGTTACCGCCAAAACAATGAAAATTTCAATAATTTGACCTTCAAAGACAATGTCATTAATGAGTGAAGGTCAAGGTCTTTCGGTATATTTTTAACAGTAATTTTTGAAGATTATTATGTTCAAGTTTCAAGACAATCCATTCAAAAATAACAAAGTTACAGCCAATAAAAGCCAAAAAAATGAAAATTGCAATAATTTGACCTTCAAAGTCAAGGTCATTTGTGAGTGAAGGTCAAGGTCTGGCTGGTTATTTTTAAGGGATATCCTTAAAGATTATTATGTTCAAGTTTGAAGACAATCCATTCAAAAATAACAAAGTTACAGCCAATAACAGCATGAACAAGCAAAAAATGGACTTTTAACCTTGAAGGTCAAGGTCATTTATGGATGAAGGTCAAGGTTAGTGTGGTCTACTGAAAGGTCTTGTCCCAAGGGTTGTTGTGGCCAAGTATGAAGACACCAAGAAATAAAAAAGTTATGATCCAGGTACAAGTTTGCGGACGGCAACGGCAACGGAGACTGTAACAATACCTCTACTTTTTTTTTCAAAAAAAAAAAAGTCGAGCTAAAAATACTAAAATAAACACCACACTAAACTACCCAGGTGCACAACTACATATGCTGAGCACAATTCCTGTAAGGTTTCATGATTCTACGTCAAATACTTATTTAGTAACATGTGACACAAGTTGAAAATTGGAAATTTTTACTAATTCAAGGGCAATTACTCTAAAAATACTAAATATATCCACATGAAAATATCCAGATGAACAACTTCACATGCTGATCAACATTCCTGTAAGATTTCATGACTCTAGGTCAAATATTTTTTGAGTTACATGCAACACAAGTAATACTGTTAAGACTTGGAAATTTTTACTAAGTCAAGGGCAATAACCTTAAAAATACTAAAAATATCCACACAAAAATACCCAGGTGCACAACTACAATTGCTAAGCAACAATCTTATAAGGTTTCATGACTCTAGATCAAATACTTTTTTAGTTACCTGCGACACAAGTTGAAAATTGGAAATGTTTTACTAAGTCAAGGGCAATAACTATAAAAATACTAAATATATCCACATGACAATACCAGGTGCACAAATTCACATGCTGACTGAAACTCCTGTAAGGTTTCATGACTCTAGGTCAATGACTTTTTGAGCTAATGGGACACAAAAAGGAAACAGATGGATGGAAGGACAGACGGATGGATCTTAATGCCCCCCCCCCCATAGTGGGGGCACAAAAAGTAGATAAAAACAATAAATACAATACAGAAATATACTAAAACTGAGGCTTCAAAATGTGTAAGTCTTCTTGTAGGTCAAGCCAAGTTTTGAAATATTTTGCAATAACAATAGGAATGAGTGTTTGAAAAAACATTACTTACCATTTGCAGAAGAAGTCTATATCATCTCTTGCATATCCAGGGCTGCAATGATTTACGCATGTTCCATCTGGCGAGAGGAAAAAAATTTATTCTATCAAGTTTCACACTATTTCACTATATCAAACAGATAGAGCAATCAAGTGCATTATTACATGAATTGATATATGCACAGTATTAACTAGAACTGCCACTATCATGGCGTGAATACCCCCGCATACCACTTTGTCATAATAAACAGTGGACATTAAGAGCTCAAGGAAAACCTCCCTGCCAAATCTGAGGTTACTAAGCCAGTGCATTGCTAAGTTATGTATTCTACATGCTTCAAATGTGAAAATGTCAAAATCAACACATTGCGGACAGGACATTCTTTAGCAATTGAGAAGAAAAGCTTTTGTCAAAGTCCCGGTGACCTTGACCTTTGACCCAGTGACCTCAAAATCATAAGGGTCACCTTATAGTCATGATCAACATCCATGCCAAATATGAAGACTGTGGGTCAAAGGAATCTTAAGTTAATGGGTGGACAAACTTTTTGAAGTCAAAGTCCCTATGACCTTGACCTTTGACCTGGTGACCTCAAAATCAATAGGGGTCATCTACTAATCATGACTAACCTCCATGCCAAATACGAAGACTGTGGGTCAAAGGAATCTTAAGTTATTGGGCGGACAAGCTTTTTGAAGTCAAGGCCCCTGTGACCTTGACCTTTGACCTGGTGACCTCAAAGTCAATAGGGGTCATCTACTTATCATGACTAGCCTCCATGCTAAATATGAAGATTGTGGGTCAAAGGAATCTTAAGTTAATAGGCGGACAAGCTTTTTGAAGTCAAGGCCCCTGTGACCTTGACCTTTGACCTGGTGACCTCAAAATCAATAGGGGTCATCTACTAATCATGACTAACCTCCATGCCAAATATGAAGACTGTGGGTCAAAGGAATCTTAAGTTATTGGGCGGACAAGCTTTTTGAAGTCAAGGCCCCTGTGACCTTGACCTTTGACCTGGTGACCTCAAAGTCAATAGGGGTCATCTACTTATCATGACTAGCCTCCATGCCAAATATGAAGACTGTGGGTCAAAGGAATCTTAAGTTATTGGGCGGACAAGCTTTTTGAAGTGAAGGCCCCTGTGACCTTGACCTTTGACCTGGTGACCTCAAAATCAATAGGGGTCATCTACTAATCATGACTAACCTCCAGGCCAAATATGAAGACTATGGGTCAAAGGAATCTAAGTTAATGGGCGGACAAGCTTTTTGAAGTGAAGGCCCCTGTGACCTTGACCTTTGACCTGGTGACCTCAAAATCAATAGGGGTCATCTACTAATCATGACTAACCTCCATGCCAAATATGAAGACTATGGGTCAAAGGAATCTTAAGTTATTGGGCGGACAAGCTTTTTGAAGTCAAGGCCCCTGTGACCTTGACCTTTGACCTGGTGACCTCAAAATCAATAGGGGTCATCTACTAATCATGACTAACCTTGATGCGAAATATGACGACTGTAGGTCAAAGGAATCTTAAGTTATTGGGCGGACAAGCTTTTTGAAGTCAAGGCCCCTGTGACCTTGACCTTTGACCTGGTGACCTCAAAATCAATAGGGGTCATCTACTAATCATGACTAACCTCCATGCCAAATATGAAGACTGTAGGTCAAAGGAATCTTAAGTTATTGGGCGGACAAGAAAAAACCGACGGACGGACGGACAAGCTGATTCCAGTATACCCCCCTTACAACTTTGTTGTGCGGGGGTATAAAAACAAATGCTGACATGTCATATGACGTCAATAACGCTTATGATGTTTTCGGAAAAGACAACTATGCTCAATGCAGTTCAACATTTCTTTCATCAATTTTCCTGTATATTAGCATGGAAGAATGGAAATATGAGGGCTGTTCAAAAAGTAATAGGACTAAGAGTCTTGCATCTTCATATTCCATTTAATTTATAATATCTTTATATGTACAGCGATTTTAAACTTTTTCTTCAATTTAAGCATAAAATTAATCAATTACCGTACTTAACGGGTGTTCCCTGTGATATTGAATAACCATGGTAACACACAACCCAGCACAGCACATAAAAAATTACTTAAGCTTAGTAATTTTAATTTATTCATAATTTATTCTCTTTTGTTTGCCATATATGCCACCAACACAATTCATTATATTTAAGTGACATTATGCCCAAATTTAATGTCATTCAGACATGAAATGGCTCAATCATTAAGTTTTGAACAGCAGTGGTCAGAATGTTAAATGTAGAAATTTGAAGTTTGAAGTTTAGCCCGAGTGATATAATGATGCGCATCCGAATGACAAACAGTGATGTTATCAAGCAATAAAATCACCGATTTGGATGTATTATTTCGATTTTTACACAACATCAACAAACAAATGCTGCCGTACATGATAAATTGCTAAATTGCAACTGATTGTTTCCGTACTTATTGTCTGTGCCTCTCATTTTTAATGGTTACGTCACGTGTACAATGATTACGTCACATGTCTAAATATAGAATGTCAAACAGTGATTTTACAGCATAATAACACACACTTTTGATTCTTCTATGTTCAATAGGGAAAAATGCGGGTCGTGTTAGAATAACAAACTGAAAATGGGTCAAAGACAGAAAAGGCCGGGTTGCATATGTATACAAAATATCATGAGGCTGTGATGTTACTTAAATTTTCTACCACTGTCTTGACCATTTATGTTGAAAATTTAACTTAGTTGGTAATGAGCATCAAATCTGAAATGGAATCCCACAATATGGGACCACATGTCAATGCTGTGAACCACACATCAAGAAGCTGTGGTAAGTAGCTGCTGAGAAAACTATTACGAAAATTTCCTACTATCTATTGATCATTAATTATGTCAAAATTTAACTAAGTCAGCAAACAGGAAGTGGATGAGCAACAGACCTGAAATCGAATCCCACAGTATGGGACCATGTGATAATGCTGTATACAAAATATCAAAAGGCTGTGATAAGTAGTTGCTGAGAAAACTGTTACGAAAATTTCCTACCATTGACCATAAATGTTGAAAATTTAACTTAGTCGGCAAACAGGAAGTGGATGAGCGACAGACCTGAAATCATATCCCACGTCCGATATGAGTTCATGTGTTGATGCTGTATACCAAATATCAAAAGGCTGTGATAAGTAGTTGCTGAGAAAACTGTTACGAAAATTTCCTGCTATTGACCATTAATGTTGAAAATTTAACTAGGTCAGCAAACAGGACGTAGATGAGCGACAGACCTGAAATCAAATCCCACAGTATGGGACCATGTGTTGATGCTTTATACCAAATATCAAAAGGCTGTGATAAGTAGTTGCTGAGAAAACTGTTACGAAAATTTCCTGCTATTGACCATTAATGTTGAAAATTTAACTAGGTCAGCAAACAGGAAGTAGATGAGCGACAGACCTGAAATCGAATCCCACAGTATGGGACCATGTGTTGATGCTGAATACCAAATATCAAAAGGCTGTGATAAGTAGTTGCTGAGAAAACTGTTACGAAAATTTCCTGCTATTGACCTTTAATGTTGAAAATTTAACTAGGTCAGCAAACAGGAAGTAGATGAGTGACCGACCTGAAATCGAATCCCACAGTATGGGACCATGTGTTGATGCTGAATACCAAATATCAAAAGGCTGTGATAAGTAGTTGCTAACTGTTACGAAAATTTCCTGCTATTGACCTTTAATGTTGAAAATTTAACTAGGTCAGCAAACAGGAAGTAGATGAGTGACCGACCTGAAATCGAATCCCACAGTATGGGACCATGTGTTGATGCTGTATACCAAATATCAAAAGTCTGTGATAAGTAGTTGCTGAGAAAACTGTTACGAAAATTTCCTGCTATTGACCATTAATGTTGAAAATTTAACTAGGTCAGCAAACAGGAAGTAGATGAGCGACAGACCTGAAATCAAATCCCACAGTATGGGACCATGTGTTGATGCTGTATACCAAATATCAAAAGGCTGTGATAAGTACTTGCTGAGAAAACTGTTACAAAAATTTCCTACTATTGACCATTAATGTTGAAAATTTAACTAGGTCAGCAAACAGGAAGTAGATGAGCGACAGACCTGAAATCGAATCCCACCGTATGGGACCATGTATTGATGCTGAATACCAAATATCAAAAGGCTGTGATAGGTAGTTGCTGAGAAAACTGTTACGAAAATTTCCTGCTATTGACCATTAATGTTGAAAATTTAACTAGGTCAGCAAACAGGAAGTAGATGAGTGACCGACCTGAAATCGAATCCCACAGTATGGGACCATGTGTTGATGCTGTATACCAAATATCAAAAGGCTGTGATAAGTAGTTGCTGAGAAAACTGTTACGAAAGTTTTTCCCCGCCCGACGCCCGCCCGCCGCCCAACATTCACCATACTATAACCCGGGTTTGCACCAGTGCAACCCGGCCAAAAATGTGTGTGATCGTTTAATTTTCCCAACAAATTGGCGATACTCCATCAGATACATACGAAAACATAAAATTAACACAGTACAATTAATCGGTATCAGGATACTTATTTTCAGCTTAAGCAATTGGAGATCACAAACAGGAAAGGGTGAGGATGTTTGTGGGAAATTGATGGGACGTTAGTAAATTCAAATGGAAAAGCGCTACAAAAGGAGCAACGGTAAACAGTCCACGAACTGACAAAAGGAGCAACGGTAAACAGTCCACGAACTATCTGGCATGTTTTACGTCTGCATCCGGTCTACTGATTCAGTTCTGATTTAATATAAGACATTTGTTTCAAACAATATATATACGAGGGATGATCAAAAATTAACCGGACTTTGTAAATGATTCTTAACCTGTTAAATGAATTTGCATAACAATACACGGAAAATAAATCGGAATCTATCCTCTAAATGATACAAAAAATACCAACAAGAAATATTAACAAAGAAAAAAGTTATGCTGTTATTGGCATGCACATGTAAAGCAATGCGGCGCACGGTATAACTTTAAAATTGACGTTAACGACGTCACAGGCGTATTGTCCTTAACGGAGCAGAT